GAACCCCCAGTTGCAAGTTTACCATCGACTCGCGACTAGGGGGTACGTGTGTGTGTATGTGTGTTTTATTCGTGGCCCCCAGTTGCAAGTTGACCATCAACTCGCATTTACGGGGATGTGTGTTGTGTGTGTGTCGAGGGTCCGTAATTGCATGTGGATAACTGACTTGCAACTAGGAGTGTTGTGTGTGTTTGTCTATTTGTCAAGGGGTCCCTAATTGCATGTCAAGCATGGACTCACAACTATGGGATGTGTGTTTGTTGAGGATCCCCAATTGCAAGTTGCCCATCGACTCGCAACTAGAGGGGTGTGTGTGTGTGTGTTTTATTCGTGTCCCCCATTTGCAAGTTGACCATCAACTCGCAACTAAGGGGTTGCGTGTCTATTGAGGACCCCCAGTTGCAAGTTGCCCATCGACTCGCAATTAGGGGGGTGTTGTGTGTGTGTTTTATTTGTGTCCCCTAGTTGCAAGTTGACCATCAACTCGCAACTAGGGGTCTTGTATGTGTGTGTCTTTTTGTTGTGGCCCCCAGTTGCAAATCGCTCATCGACTCGCAACTAAGGATGTGTGCATGTGTGTGTGTGTGTAGAGGGTGTGTGTTTTGTTGTGGCCCCCAGTTGAACCTCGCTCATCGACTCCCAACTAAGGATGTGTGTCTGTATGTGTGTGTGTGTGTGTTTGTAGAGGGTCACTAGTTGCATGTCGATAACCGACTCACAACTAGAGGTGTGTGTGTGTGTGTCTTTTTGTCAAGAGTCCCCAGTTGCATGTTGACCATCAAACTCGCAACTAGCGGGTGTGTGTTTGTTGAGAATCCCCAATTGCAAGTTAACCATCAACTCGCAACTAGGGTGTGTGTGTGTGTTTCTCAAAGGGTCCCCAGTTGCATGTCAAGCATCGAATCACAACTAGGGGGTGTGTGTTTATTGAGGACCCCTTGACCATCAACTCGCAACTAGGAGATGTGTGTGTGTGTGTGTTAAGGGTCCCCAATTGCATGTTGATAACCGACTTGCACTAGAGGTGTGTGTATCTTTTTCTCAAGGGGTCCCCAGTTGCATGTCAAGCATCAACTCGCAACTAGGGGGCTGTGTGTTTGTTGAGGACCCCCAGTTGCAAGTTGCCCATCGACTCACAACTAAGAGGGTGTGTGTGTGTCTTTTTATTGAGGGTCTCCAGTTGCAAGTTGTCCATCGACTCACAATTAGGGTGTGTGTGTTTGTTGACAAGAGTTGACAAAATCAGGGCACATGCAACTGGGGACCCCTTGAGAAAACGCCCATACTCATCATACTCAGTCATACAACTGCAACTCATCATACTCAGGCGCAACTGCAAGAGGTATAAAGCGCTCGCAACTGAGTTAGGAGAGGGTTGTCGGTGGTTATCGACGGTTTTTATCTTAGCATCACATAGGTGTGGTTTCTATCATTTCCCTTGACCGTGGGTGCATACAAGCACTTTTCATTTTGCCCATTTTTTGTGTTTTATTTCTCGGAACGCACAAACCATCTTTGGTATTTCCCACATGAAAACACATAATGTTTTTGAATATATATATATATATATATATATATATATATATATATATATATATATATATATATATATTTGATTCTAGTTTCACACCGTTGAATGCTTATAGTTGTATCATCGTCGATCATACACAATAATTTATTTTGATATAGTCGCCCAGCAAACATTGCCCGTGCAACTAACTTTTCTGCTTATATCATTTTTTGTTTACATTTGTTTCTATTAAATTTATTTACTATATATATATATATATATATATATATATATATATATATATTATTCTTTTGCCTTGAGTGAAAAATCAACTATAAATGCCTCGGCTTAATGCAAATCTTCACGTGATTGTTGACCGAGCATGAAAGTCGTCAGCTTGTGGCCATCCCTTTTTTGTCGCAACGTTGTGCAACCCGAGTAATTGACAGACGGAAAGGAAAGATTTAGCATCCCACACACAAGTAGACTTGCAAGCAATTTTTTTTGCCATTGTCAGGTTAGTATCGACTGCATGTCGAGACAACACTCAGGCCGAAATTATAACAAGCGTTCAGTGCAAAAAAATGTTTTTTCTAACTTTTTAATATTTTTTTTAAGAAAAACTGGGTGCAGTGCACGCGTAATATACTGACTAAGTACATAGTTACAAGAAAAATGGGGAGATCGTGTTGCAATGGACTAGTAATATGCTCATCCAATTCATAGATGGTTGTAGGCCTATTTTTTTTGTTCCAAATGGATTGAATACACATACACACACAAAAAAAAAGAGACACGGACAAGTCAGGACACGCAGTTCAGCCCACTAATGGCCCATATTAGTGCACCTGGAATCATGGTGCCTAAAAAAAACTATCGATCACGGAGGTACAATATCAGTATCAATATATGATGATGTCATCCTGATGTCATCTGAATAAAACCAAACTATATCTCATTCAACTGAGTTCTAGGCACCCCTGAAATATAATCCGTCATGATGGCTTTTCCTAAAAAAAACAAGCTGTGAATTTTATCTCGTCTGTTTTAGGCGACTCACGAAGGAATCAACAAACCAAGCCCGTAATAGCTGTGATTCCCTTGGAACCGGTAATGCATCATACAGTACAAATCAACGAGCCCAATGTGTTCCTGCTCGCGTAGTTCCTGGCTTCGCCGTGTGCTCGGCAAAAGCGTCGCACGTCGGCGATTGTTTCAAAATCAAACGCAAAGTGGCAGGCCATGATTCCCGTGGGGTGCATCTCCACGCAAGGGTGCGCAAACAGCTGATTCCGTCTGGGGCCCGCACGACTAGAACAAATCAAAAGGGCAGAGATTCCGAGTGCAAGCAAATCGCGTGGCCCCAGTCCAGCAGAAAAGTGAAGGGGGTGCAGTGCGGGGTGGTGCCCGCCACGTTGATTCCACGGCCCTTTTCTGCAGTTATCAACGGCTGGTCTTCCTCCCATTCTCTTGTGCTAGGTGTACACCACTCCTTCCCACGTTTTTATTCATCAGAGATACTACTCTCTCGATCCTAAAAAAAGAAGATGAGAAACTGCTCTCTCATGCTATGGCTGTCTCTCATTATATATATAGCAAAATACATACAACGTTAAGATAAATCACATCACATTTTTTTATTTAGCGAGATTTTACAGACATTGCAGGCGTTGTGATAGGATAATGCACTCTTTCTCTCGAGCAAAATGAAATGGTTTGGTAAGTTGATTATTATAAACAACAGTATCATGATCACATTCATAGGGCATGATGTGTTCTGAGCTACTCCCCCTGTCTCAAAATATAAGACCTTTTTTTTGTCTGGATTTAGACAAAAAACTACTTATATTTGAAGACGGGTGGAATATTATGATTATGAAACATGGAGCGCTATGTGAATAGTTTTTCAAGATAACTAAGATTATTCCCCTTAACCTCCAAACCCAATATTACACACAATTGTCTACGAAATATCGAGTTTCAAAGTATTTCCCCCCGCTACAATTAATATATCCGGAACACTTCCTATTGAACATCCAAGAAATTCCCATGTCAGATGCATCTAGGGTTATACATGTGTCCATGTTTTGAACTTGACATTTTCATCATCTCACTGCACCTCTGAGAAACATTCTTATCCATGCGTCCACATGTGTTTTGAACTTAACATTTTTATCAACTCACTGCACCTCCAAGAAAACAGTTGTATGGTGCTTCCCCATGTTCCACCTAGATAAATTTTTATGAAGCATCCATTTGAAGATTACTAGCTTCCACCATAGGCATCATCTCACTAGAATCCATCGTCTCAGCCTTTTCATGTCTGGTGCTCTCTTCGTGAGTTGTCCTCACATGTGTGAGCTCATCTTCCTCCTGCTTTTAGCCTCTAAAGTTGGCTTTCGTGAGTGAGGAAGCGGGTTTCTCTGTAAGATCTCGTTTCACTATGCAAACAACAGGTTGGGCTGAGGTGGAGCATTTGAACTGACGTGGTGTGCTAGGGCAGTAGTCTTACGTGGAGCGTAGTACATGCTCTTATGCTCCATGAGTGTGTAGGCTGAGAGGTACTAGCACTCGTCTCGACCTACACTTTTTGTCTAGTGATGCATCACACTCATTAGTGTGGTGACCAGACCAAATGGCAATGAGAGCTAGCGACAACTGTGTACAAAGTGGTAGGGTGAGCAGTGGGTTAAGCCGCGGTGGTGTGCACGCAATGAGGGAGATGGAGTAAGTAGCAATAATCCAAGGTTGAATTGTTACACATGGGCAATGAAAATATAATAAATCAATTAGGGCTTAAACTTCTACTTTCTTTAGAGTTTATTAGGCAGTATTTTCCAAAAAAAGCAGTCAAGAAACATTAACAACGACCCTAAATTCATAAGAAGAGATGAATAGGATATTCCTTTCATGGGCTGAGTTGGATGGACGGTTTCTTAAGAAAGGCATTTTGCAAGGCATCTCGTCCAATCCTGGGATTGAAAATCACACGCACCATTAAATGAAAGTTTTTTCAACGTTACACTAAAATAGTGCATCATGTAACACTGCGGTAGAACACACATCAATCTTTAGCATAACCAAAGCCAAAAATCAACTCAACATCCAACCAACTCAAGGCCATTGGGAGTAATTCATCTCCACATTTCACGAGACCCCAAGCTATTCCTTTTCCTGTGGATTTTTTTACTTCGGCGCTCGTGTACACGAAGCATTTCCCTTCAAACTCTACAGCCATGCCAGGGGACATGTTGGTCCGTGGCAAAAGCACCCCGCCGTCCGCCCTGAACCCCGCCCCGGCCGCTCCCGGCCGTCCAATCCAAAACCAACGTCCCCGATCCTCCGATCAGACCTAAACCCCATCCCATCTATAAAACCCCACCACGCCAGAGCACCTCCTCCCCCGCATTCTCTTGCCCCTCAACTCCCACGCGCACCGGCACCACCCCTTTTCTTGCGGAGCAGCGTGAGGGTTTCGGAAAGCTAAGCCATGGCGGAGCAGCCGCACGCCGAGGACGCGGGCCACAAGCCGGAGACCCTGATGGAGAAGATCGCCGACAAGCTCCACGTCGGCGGCGGCGACCACTCCTCCTCGTCCTCCGACTCCGACAAGGAGGAGCAGCCGCGCCCCTCGGCTCCGCCCGCCCCCGCCCCCGCCCCCGCCCCCGCCCCGGCCGCCTCCGAGGTCACCACCGCCTCCTTCGCCGCCTCCGCCACCGCGGCGGCGGCCGACGCCAAGAACAAGATGTTCCGCCTCTTCGGCCGCGAGCAGCCCATCCACAAGGTCCTCGGCGGAGGCAAACGTATGGCCCATTACCGATCTAACCGATGCTCGTTTTTTAGTGCCTTTGCTTGAAACGCGTAGATCGGATCGGAATATGTGGATCTGGACGGGTTTGGGTCTTGGGTTTCGTACTAGATCTGGTATTGGGTAGTGCAGGTGAGGTTTAAGCCTTCTTTTTTTTGGGCGGCTGGGTTTGTTCAGATCCACAGGGACGGCGCGTCACCAAAGCCAACGCAACTGCAGCGACCTGATTTACGCTTGTGGTTTCGAATTTGGTCAATGCAGGCTGTCTTCGTATGAGTTTTGCCGTGATTGTGCGATCTGATCTTCAAGATTCCCCCCTTGTGTTTATGGTGCTAATAAAATGGATACTGTCCATATGGCTGGGCTGCTAAAATAGGATATTAATATTCCATATGGTTGGGCTGCTAAAATAGGATATTACTATTAATAGTACCGTTGAGCATTACCTGCGCTTGAATCTATGTTGTCAGTTTGTGGCAGAATCATCCTCAGGCGCTCAGTGAATTCTCTGCTGTGTCCTTGCTAAGTCGCTAGTGTATAGAAACATTGTTTCTTGTATGAGAATTATCATCATATATGACTTCTAGGTTTGTTTTCTCTGAATTTTAAATAAAGAAACAGTAAATCTTGTGGTGTTATTGCTACTTCTTCCCTTTCTCAAACTTCCAAACATTTTGGAAATATTGAAGTTCAGCTTAAGATTCTCTATAGAATTACCATGATTTTGGAGCACCTATGCGCCATTAGTCGTTACACATTGCAATATAACTAATACTCATGGACTAAAGAAATAGAACTACAATGTGGTTTCTGTGTATGGTACATTTGTGTCTTGTTTTTTGCTTTGTACTTGAGCTGTTAACCATAGGCTGAAAACATGCAAATCTAGAGGGCATCCTTACTCTGTTGCGAATCCTTAATGGGTAGCAGAGGTTAAACACCTAGTTGTGTTTTCTTGCCTTCCATTGTCACTCCATAAATTTTCGCAGACCATCCTGCAATTTTTTTGAACTGTTATATTCTATTTCTACTCCTTAAACACTGCCAAATTTTATCCCCGTCTTGTATTATATTGTGATTAAGGTGTCATTTGTGAGCACATGCTATGTAATTTCATGATCTGCCAATCTTGCTGTTGTATTCACTTTGTTTCTCTATTCTGCAGCTGCTGACGTGTTTATGTGGAGGAACAAGCACATCTCTGCTGGAGTACTAGGTGGTGCAACTGCAATCTGGATCCTTTTTGAATTGCTTGGCTACCATCTTCTGGCTTTCCTTGGCCATGCTCTCATATTCTCTCTGGGTGTTCTCTTTCTATGGTCTAATGCCTCATCATTCATTAACAAGTAAGCTATCTTCATCTCAGTATCACAGATTACATGTGCATACCCTTGCACGTTCAAGAGCTAGTACTTCAAAATGAGTTCTAAATTCTGCCACACATTTCAGGTCTCCCCCAAGGATTCCCGAGGTGATCATTCCTGAAGATCTGGTTGTCAACATTGCACTATCTACACGTCATGAGATCAACAGAGCCTTCGCAAACCTTCGTCAGATTGCTCTTGGCCGCGACATAAAGAAGTTCCTTATTGTATGTCTGTTCTGCCATTGTTTACCAAGCGTTGTTCCTACATCAATCTGGATTTACCTCATTTAACTATTTTTTACAAAATTGTAGGTGATTGCTGGTCTATGGCTGCTTTCCATTCTTGGTAGTTGCTGCAACTTCTTGACGCTGTTCTACATTGGTGAGGGATCTCAACTGAGTATACCATTTTTAGCACCTCTTCTTCCCAATGTGGATTTGGTTTTTACAGTGGATCTTTCTCTTCTATGTCAAACAGTTTTTGTGGTTCTGCACACAGTGCCAGTAATCTACGAGAAGTATGAAGATCAGATTGATACCTATGGCGAGAAGGGGTGGATTGAGGTTAAGAAACAGTATGCTGTGTTTGATGCCAAGGTTTTGAGCAAAGTGCCGAGGGGCCCCTTGAAAGACAAGAAGAACTAGAAATGAGTGGTACCGTGTAATGATGGTGACTGGTTCGTGGCTGCCCTTGTGGTCTGAGCACCAAATTTCTCACCAGTTGTCTTGTGTTATGTAAGGCTGTTTTCATTGTTTGCGACTTTGATGAGAGTAGCCCTGGGTAGCTTACCCTCCAACAGTAATGCAGAGGCAGCACTTGTTTCGCTGTACCGCTGTTTGATTTTTGATCTGTTAAGGTGTCGCATGGGTACGGTTTCTAGACGCTGATTTTGCTACTTGCGTTGCTGCAGTTTGGAGTATTGATGATGTTTGTCAACTCGTTGGGCTTTAGATGTCATCTACTCGTTTCTATTGTACTACTATCACTGTTGCAACACAACTTTTATTAAAGCCCAGTCTGCGTGTGTTGGTCTCAAACATTGTGCTACATATTCATATGTCAGGACTGCAGCGGGAAGTGTTATTTCTTCAGTTAGCGCTAGTTGCGGCTACAGATAACGATTCAGTAGATGGAGGGTTGAGATCGAGCCTCGCTTTACCGTTCTGTGTCAACCGTTAGATGTCTACTGTTCCGTTTCAATCGTTACTGTTACGTTTCACCTGTTGCCGGGAGGCTTTCCATCTATAAAGGCAGCCGGGTTGTGGCTGGCCAGACCATGGAATCTTCTTTATGAATTGCCTATATGGCCAACTACTCTACAGCTAATACACACACAGCCCGATCTGGGTGAACTTTTCCCCAATTCGTCTTCCATCTCTCTCCTTCTTGATCATCTCTATAGCTTGGTCTTGACAAAGAGGCTTTCCATCTATAAAGGCAGCCGGGTTGTGGCTGGCCAGACCATGGAATCTTCTTTATGAATTGCCTATATGGCCAACTACTCTACAGTTAATACACACACAACCCGATCTGGGTGAACTTTTCCCCAATTCGTCTTCCATCTCTCTCCTTCTTGATCATCTCTATAGCTTGGTCTTGACAAATAAATTGGTATTCAGAGCAAGGTTTTTCCTCGGCCACAAAAATTTTCGTCCATAGGGAGAGTAATCCCACCCAATTCCCTCCCCGTGAGTAGATCGGAACCGAATTGAGCCGGAGCGGCGCGAGTGGCCGCGATCTGTACCAGGGCGGCGTTGGAGGCGGCGATCTGTACCAGGGCGGCGCTCATGGCGGAGAATTGCTCGGCTGCAAACCAGTAGAGCGGAAAGGTTGCTGGGGAACAATTCTCTGGTGGTAAAATTCCTTGTCTATCGCTGGTTCGTGCAGCTTTGGCGGAGCGGAGCGAGAAGGCGACAGGATCTGAGCAGAGAGCCGGGTTACCGAAGTATTTCGGCAGTAAAATTCCTTCTCTCTCCCTCAGATCAAGGTGATGGGGCGCGCCAAGACCATCGACGAGCCGGATCTACAGGAACTGTTGTCTCTTCGAGACGACATGGGGATCGTGCAGAAAGACCAGTCACAGATGCAGGTGGATATGGCAAAACTGCATGATGAGGTACATTCTATCAGTTCCAAACAAGGGGATATATCTGTGCAGATGGGCAATGTAGAGCAAGTGGTGCTGGACTTAGGCAAACAGCTCTCCACGATCAATTCAGTTTTGCAAGCATTAGTGAAGGCACCAACAAATGGAAGCACTACTGAAATCCCATCAAGCTCTCAACAGAGACCAAATTCACCAACAACCTCTCAAGACCAGATGCAAACTCAACTGTTGAGAACAGAGCAACTTAGGAAACAATTGGAGGCTGAAAAGGAAAAGACGAGGCAATTGGAAGAGCTGCAATAGCAGAATCTGCCTCCTATCAGAACCAGTAGACCAGCTGCTCCACCAGGGTTTGCACAACAAGGAAGACCAGAGCACTTAAGTCCTTTGGGCACTCCAGTTACAGCCAGGCAGTCCACTCACACCCCTGTTTTTCAGCAATACTATCAGCAAAATAGAGATAGGCAGTTATGGCAGGGATATGCAAAGACCTATGAACATGATATGCAGTGTCAATTCATGAAATCCTTGACCAAAGGGCCTAAAATGGATTTTCCTAGGTTTGAAGGAGAAGATCCAGTGGGCTGGATCAGGCAATGCAACAAATATTTCCAGATGTCAGGGGCACCAGAAGAATACAAGGTTTCCTTGGCCCAATTATACATCATTGGGGAAGCATATGTATGGCTGAGAAGATCAGGTTTGCTGGAAAAGAAAGTTTCCTGGAAGGAATTTTGCACATAAATCACTAAAAGATTTTCTGCACAAGGCTCATATGATCTCACAGAAAAGTTTAATTCAGTGAAACAGTCTAACAGCACAGTGTCTGAATATACAAAAATATTTGAAGATCTCATGGCTGATGTACAAGAGGAAAATTCAGAATTAGGAGAATCTTGGTTTGTAAGATGCTATGTTAATGGATTAAGAGAAGGCATCAAATATCAAATTAGACCATTGAGACCTCAAACCCTCACTGATGCCTACTGGTTAGCAAAGGATGTGGAACCTTGTCATCCTCCTGCAGTGGCAAACACAAAAAGAATATCAGTCCCTTATAACAACTACTACCAGAAAAACACTGGAGGTTTTATCCAGAAACAACCTGTTGTTCCTCCTATCCAGCAACAAATTCCTGTCAGGCACAATGAAACTCCTGCTAATAATGCACAGAAAATCAGAAAACTTGGAGAGTGTTGGCGATGTGGAGATAAGTGGGTACATGGCCACAGATGCAAGTTAATACCAAATGTTCAAGCCATGCAACAAGAACCAAAGGAGCAAGTCACTTATGATATTGAAGAGCAACAGTTGGAAGATCAGGCAGAGAAAGTAAATGAAGGAGATCAGGCTATGTTCCTTTCTGCTTTTGCCATGGGACAACAGTTATCCGTGCCAACTCCTACAGTAATCATTCATATCAATGGGAAGAAAGTTGTAGCATTGTTGGATTCTGGTAGTACTACCTCTTTCATAAACTAAGATTTTGCAGTTAAGGCAAACTGCAACATGTTGCCTGTAAAACCCAGAAAGATTTCAGTGGCTGGTGGGGGCACACTAACATCTACTGCAGTTGTACCTCACTGTCAGTTTCAGATTTCCGAAGTGACACTTTCCCACAGTTTCAGAACACTGTTCCTCCCAAGCCATGATGCAATCCTAGGATATGATTGGTTTACTGCTGTGAGCCCTGTGTCATTTGATATTCCAGCCCAGCAATTCAGTTTCACACATGAGGGCAAGCAAACTGTTTCAACAACAATGTTCACTACTGCAGCTAGTGTGAAGGAAATGCCTGCTAAGAAAGTGGATAAATTATTAGACAAAGGACCCGAAGTGTTCCTGTGTCAAATCCACAACATACTCTTGGATGCACCAGAGGATTTTAAAACTCCACCACAAATACAACAGTTATTGCTGCAATATGCTGATCTGTTGGAGGAACCTAAAACACTGCAACCTCATAGAGCATTGGACCACAAAATTTCTCTAGTAGAAGGTGCAGCTCCACCACAAGTTAGGCCTTATAGAGTGCCCCAAAATCAGAAAAGAGAGATGGAGGAGCAGATAAAAAAATTGTTGGCTGCACATCTCATAAGACACAACCAAAGTCCATTCGCTGCTCCTGTGTTGTTAGTTAAAAAGAAGGATGGGTCCATGAGACTGTGCACAGACTTCAGAAAACTCAATGCTCTTACAATTAAGAACAAATTCCCTATCCCTGTAATAGAAGATCTTTTAGATGAACTGCATGGAGCAAAGTATTTTACTAAATTGGATTTAAGGTCTGGCTATCACCAAATCAGAATGTCACCTGAAGATATCCATAAAACTGCATTCAGAACATTCTTGGACCATTTTGAATTTCTGGTAATGCCATTTGGCCTGTCCAATGCCCCTGGAACTTTCCAAGAATTAATGAATACCATATTTGGCCCTTATTTAAGGAAATTTGTGTTGGTTTTCTTTGATGACATACTGATCTTCAGTAGAAACCTCACAGAGCACTTGGAGCATATTAAGTTGGTCTTGGATCTTTTAAGAGAGCACCAACTTTTTGCCAAAAATGTCAAAGTGTGTGTTTGCAACTCAGAAAGTGGAATATTTAGGGCATGTGATTTCTGCTGATGGTGTGGCTACTGACCCACAGAAGATCTCTGCTATAGCTGAGTGGCCTGTGCCTGAAAATATCACTAAGCTTAGAAGTTTTCTGGGTTTAGCAGTGTACTATAGAAGATTTATCAAAAGTTATGGTGTTATATGCAGGCCTGTGCATGATCTGCTTAAAAAGGGGAATTTCCATTGGTCACCTGAACATACAAAAGCTTTCTAGCAACTGAAACAAGCATTAACTTCTGCTCCTGTTTTGGCTTTGCCAGATTTTTCCAAGCCATTTGTTTTGGAAACTGATGCTTCAGGAAAAGGGATTGGGGCTGTTCTAATGCAGCAAGGAAGGCCAATATCTTTTTATAGTTCATCTTTATGCCCTAGGAATGCAGCTCTGTCTACTTATGAAAAAGAGGCTCTAGCAATTTTGGAGGCACTAAAAAGGTGGAGGCACTACTTGCTAGGGAAATAGCTCATAATTAAAACAGATCAGCAATCACTGAAATTCATAACTGATCAAAGAATCACTGAAGGAGTTCAGCACAAACTAATGATGAAATTGTTGGAATTTAATTTCACAATTCAGTACAAAAAAGGTATTCACAACAAGGTGGCTGATGCCTTGTCAAGAGTTCTTCCTAAATGTATGGCTATCTCTGCAGCTACTCCTGTTTGGGCAGAAGATCTGGTGCACAGTTACCAACAGGATCCTAGTAGTGTGCAACTGTTGGAAAAATTGTTGTTAAACAAGGATAACTCACTGTCAGACTACTCCTTAACATCTGGAATTATTAGATACAAAGGAAAATTTTATGTGGGTAACAACCCTGAGTTAAGGTATAAATTGACTGTGGCCCTACACAGTTCTCCAGTGGGGGGGCACTCAGGAAGGAGAGCAACATATCACAGGATCAAAAGCATCTTTTATTGGCCTGGTATGAAAACAGCTATAGAAAATTTCATTGCAGCCTGCCCTGTTTGTTAGAGAGTAAAGCATGAAACTTGCTTGCAACCTGGTCTGCTAGAACCTCTTCCAGTGGCTGACATGGCCTGGCAGCATATATCCATGGACTTCATTGAAGGACTACCTAAATCTCAAGGAAAGGATGTGATCATGGTGGTTGTGGACAGGTTTACTAAATACTCCCACTTCATACCCCTGTCCCACCCTTACTCAGTGCTCAGTGTAGCCCAATCCTTTGTGGATAACATTATTAAGTTGCATGGTCCCCCAAAACTAATTATCTCTGACAGAGACAGAATTTTCACCAGTCAGCTTTGGAAAAATATCTTCTCTGCACTCAATGTGGAACTAAGGTTCAGTACTGCTTATCATCCACAAACAGATGGCCAGACAGAACGTGTAAATCAGTGTTTGGAGACCTATTTAAGATGCATGACTACATCTGCTCCAACCAAGTGGCTTTCCTGGCTATCCTTAGCAGAATTCTGGTATAATTCCACTTATCATACAATCATTAAAATGTCTCCATTTCAGGCTCTCTATGGATTCCCCCCACCTCTCATCTCAGAACTGGCAATACCTGGGCCTGATGATGAAGAAGCACATGATTTTTTAACTGCCAAGCAACAAATACTGCAACAACTTAAAGAGAATTTGTTGGTCGCACAGAACAGGATGAAGAAATATGCAGACAATAAGAGGGTGGAAAAAAGCTTTCAGGTGGGCGATCCAGTGTACTTGAAGATGGCTCCGTATAGATTAGCTGCATTTGGGTTCAGAGGAGCACTGAAACTACAAAACAGATTTTACGGTCCATTTTTGGTGCTTCAGAAAGTAGGCAAGGCGGCTTACAAGTTGCAGTTTCCAAAAGATGTACAGATCCACCCAGTGTTTCATGTGAGCCAGTTGAGGAAACACATTGGGGACAAATCTATACCAGACCCTAACTTACCATTGGTAAATGCGGATGGGACAATCAAAACAGGCCCAGAAGAAGTGCTGGAGGTTCGTCAAGTTCCACGACAGAACATGCCCGTCGTCCAGTGGCTTATCAGGTGGATAAACCTGCCTCCTGAAGATGCAACATGGGAAGACGCAGACTTCATCAAATACACGTTCCCGGAGTTCTTCAGCTCTACTACTCGCGCTTGGAGGGAAGCAGCGGCAACACCGTGAGGACACGTCGACACTCAAGGGAGGAGCAATGTCAGGACTACAGCGGGAAGTGTTATTTCTTCAGTTAGCGCTAGTTGCGGCTACAGATAACGATTCAGTAGATGGAGGGTTGAGATCGAGCCTCGCTTTACCGTTCTCTGTCGACCGTTAGATGTCTACTGTTCCGTTTCAGTTGTTACTGTTACGTTTCACCTGTTGCCAGGAGGCTTTCCACCTATAAAGGCAGCCGGGTTGTGGATGGCCAGACCATGGAATCTTCTCTATGAATTGCCTATATGGCCAACTACTCTACAGCTAATACACACACAGCCCGATCTGGGTGAACTTTTCCCCAATTCGTCTTCCATCTCTCTCCTTCTTGATCATCTCTATAGCTTGGTCTTGACACAACTTTTTATTAAAGCCCAGTCTGCGTGTGTTGGTCTCAAACATTGTGCTACATATTCATAGCGCATCGTTGGCTTTTCTCTACCACATCAAGTAGGAGTGGAAACTTACCGACTAGTGTCAGTACTCGCAAATTGTAGTGAACTTCAGGCATCAAAGAGACCGCTCATTTACAGTACAAGGATTAACTATAAACCTCTGAGAGATTTATTATTTACAGTACACAATGAAATCCTAGAAATCTTGTACACTGCATTATTTCAAACAAAAAGATAACCAAGGAGTTTCACTAGATTCATGAGAGAAGCATACTGGAAATACAGACTGGCGACGCTGATACTGTTTTGTGGCAACCACAACCTACCAAGTAGTATGAACTACCTATACACAAGACATGGTAGATTGAGAGATGTACACAAAGGAGCAAAACTAAAATAAAGAACAAAACCAAAAGGATCTGCCCTGCAGATTCATTATTAGTGTAGTGATACAACAACAGAACACAGGCAAACTACAGTTTACGTGGCGATAGACTGTCAATTCATGTGTTTGACAAAAGAAACCGGGCTATTTTCTCGTACTTGTTCGCCATCTATTCTACTTTCCGAATTATGTTCATACACTTGTGTTCACAGGAAGTATGTCAACTGCTCCTTCTTCCTCGACCCGCCTTCACCATACAAATCATTCCATTGCTTCAACTCACCCATTATGGAACCTTCAGCAGCAAAGCTCGCCGCCACCTGCAATTCCACGGTTATATATTAACGGCTTCTACTACATGCTTGCATTTGCGAATACTATTTGCATTGTACTAGAAAACCAGTTCACCTGGTTCTTTGCTTCTTTCAAATCTGCCATGTTTAATGGCCTTAGAATGATCTCCTTGTCTTTTTGTTTTATCTTTGAAGGATCTAGTGGACTGCCTCCTTTTTCCAGTTTCATCTTCTCCTGGAGATATTCGAGTGTTAGCTTCAGAAATTTGACAGGTTTTTTCATGGATACAATGCTTAGTATGGTGGTGATGAGATTACCAGTTCCTTCTTCCTTTCCTTCTGTATCAGTTCCCTCACAGGGCGATATGCCGCCGTTGTGCAAAGGTTCTGTGCAGAGCAAACTGAGTTAGCCAAGAAGTGTTTTAAGTGGAGAAAGATTCATGTCTCATGATACTAACCTTGAGATCACTGCCAGTGTATCCTTCAGTCATGGTTGCTAGTTCCTTATAATCTAGTCCTTCATCAACTTTCTCCTTCGACAGAAGCCTCTTCATAATCATTTCCCGATTTTGCACTGATGGTAAGCCGACCATGATTCTATGAAACCAAAGGAGCATGTGCTTCAGGCAAAATGGTAGACAAAAAACAACGCTAGGGATTGATTTCAAGGAAGGGGTGCCAACCTGCGCTCAAACCTTCTGATGATAGCCTCGTCAAGATCAAAAGGACGGTTGGTCGCAGCAAGAACAAGAATTTTTTGATCTGGTCTTGACAGGAGACCATCCCAGTGTGTCATAAACTCATTCTTAATCTTCCTCATTGCCTCATGCTCTCCAGCTCTGTTTCGCTGCCCAAGCATGCTATCAACCTCATCGACGAAAATGATAGTGGGCGATACTTTAGCAGCTAAAGTGAACAATGCTCTAACATTCTTTTCGTCTTCACCAAACCACTTTGATGTGATAGTCGACATCGATACGTTTATGAAACTTGCTTGAGCTTCATTTGCAATAGCCTTGGCTAGCATCGTCTTGCCAGTTCCAGGAGGACCAAAGAGTAATATACCTCTACAGGGCTTAAGAAGACCCCCCTTGAAGAGATCTGGCCGTCGGAGGGGTAGCATGACAAGCTCTTGAAGGGATTCTTTGATATCTTCCAATGCACCGATATCATCAAATGAAACTCCAATTTCATTCGCGGGTATCACTTCTGGTCTGATGCGCTTTTCAAACTCATTATCCGGGGGCACTTCCTAAACGCAATAAAAAAGGAATTGCAGATGGGTAAATTAGTTTCCTGGAACCTGCACCAAGTAACATTAAAGTGGCCAATAGTTATCTTACTGGTAATTTTGCAGGTGGAAGTGGATTCTCTGGTTTCTTTGGTTCTGTTTTGCTCTCAGGAGGAGGAGCTGGAGTAGCGGCAGCAGGAGCTGCTGGTGGCAGCAAAGTTGCAGGTTTTGTTTCCAATTTTGCAGCAGTCGGAGCAATTCCCTTTTCAGCAATCTATGTAGTTGAGGCATGTCATTGTTTATAATTGTTAATTCTAAACTTTCTATAGAATTGGATGCCTATGCTAGAAATCAAGCCGCCTCGTTGGAAAAACAATAAATAGGTACTCCCCCCGTTCTAAAATACAGCGCATGTAGATTTTTGTTTCAAAAGTAAGCTTTGTGAAGTTTGACCAACTTTATAGGGAAAGCTATGTACATCTATAATACCAAATAAACATTGCATTTATTTGATATTAATGTTGATTTTCCCCATATAAACTTGGTCAAACTTTACGAAGTTTGACTTTTGAATAATCTACATGCATTATATTTTGGAACCAAGGGAGTACAAAGGAATTAAATAGTGGAATCTCTTAGGAATAAGACCAATTCTTTTTCAGTCACCTAGAAGTGTAAAAACAATAAAAAGAAACAAACCTTTCGAGCGTCAGTATGTCTTTCCAACTTCATGGTGTCCTTATCGCACACCTTGTTCTCTTGAAAAATTTCCAATGCATGGGACAAGCTGCACAATTGAAGAGTCATAAACCAAGGCAGAGATGATGAAGCCAACAGACAACTATACCAAAATGCAATTACCTTTTAGCAGATAGAATTAGTTTTCCATTCCGGTACTCTGGGTCTTTATGATTCATCAAGTGGTAAGAAACTGCAGATACCACAATCTCCTCAATATACTTACTGAGGCCCATTGTATCGGATAGACATATTGAGCCTAAATCAAGACACTCGAGATCATTCTCTGCAAGGACTTCCGTGATATGGTTCCGATTATCTTGAAACTGAATAATCTTCATATCTTCTTCTAACTGGGAGTTCCAGCTTACAAGGCAATTCTCATTTTTGGGCGGCTTGATGTCTATGTTATATGGGAATAAAGCAGATAGCCTGTCATCCAGCTCATCATCATCAAAGTCCATATCCACAATCCTTGAACCGAGAAGTAGCACTGGCCCTTCAAGCTTGGCCAGTAGTTTCTCAAATAAAAGAAACATTTTGGGGGACTTCTGAAGAAACTTCTCGACATCTCTTATGTAGAGGACAATTGGGCTCTTCTTAGATACTTTATGCAGAACCTTGTATAACGCTTGCACCAGCATTTTCTCATCAAAAGTCCAGCTACTAGAACGTCTGAGAGGAGCTGCAGTGTTTGTTGCAAAAAAATAAAATAATGCATAGTGTGAAGCAGCAGCGCAACAAGAAATAGTGAAGTTAATGTCTACAGCACGAGAAGCAGTGGAAGTGCGGAACAAACATGGCAAAATGATACAGCTCATATTTTCTTCTCTGTTCATTTTGATTCCAACTTTGTGCATGAGATAAGTGTTATCTGAAGGGAACTAGACATGCAAGCATGTGTGTCCATACCTTCCAAGTAAAACTGTTGAGTGTGTAGGATAACGTGAACACTGAGGTACATCGACAGAAAGAACATAAACAAACTACTTCTCGTCGATTTGTGCATCACTTCCATTGTGGCAATAGTTGCATTTAGATCTAATTCACTACCTTGCAAGTCGGAAATTAATAACAGATCACCATTTGACATGCAAGTAAACAGCATAATGAGGAAATGCTCAAATACACACAAGGCATACATACATGAAAACTAATAGTTTCCTCAGGGTCACGAAATTTATTTTGTGCCACTGCAAGTCTTTCAAAAGGACATGCTATGACCTGAATTGCTTGGAGGGCCTTGCGATGCCAGGCTACTCATATCGGATGAAGTAGATGCATTTCTTCTGAGCCTGGGCATGCTGTTTGTACTTTCAGAGCTCCTGTAAATTTTATAAGGAAATAAGTAAATGCTTTTTGTTTCTGTAATGGGTCCACTATAGTGAAATTTTCTCACACCTTAATTTCATGTCGGTCATACTGCTTTGTCTACGCATACCTCCTGCAACATAAAATGAAAGTACATCAATGAATATACAGATACAAATTCTGCAAGTAGATACACACAATGGGAATCATGTTCTACAGTGCATGCATGCAACTGAATTTAGTTATGCCCAAGAGCGAGTATTGATATTCCTTCACAGCATTCAGTCTAAATGAAGGCCAAGTTAGGTAAAGTCAGTATAGTGGTCAATGCTTTATTCGCAGGAACTGCACTGGGTGGGAAACTTCATTTATGTTTTTTAAGATAAAACATGAAGTTCATTTATTTTTCAAGTAAATTCAGGAACTTAATTTATTCTATCAGTTCCACAGATCTTCTGATTGTCTAGTACTCTGTTGTTTGAGTACTTGTTTTATTAATCAAATGAATTCAAATGCACACGACATACATAGTGTCAATATATGAGAAAAAGGCATACACCCTCTTTTTCTTCTATGAGTAAGAATGGACTCATGATTTGAGGCTTCTAGTGTGTGTGAATCACTAAATCAGTGTAATATTGATATGAAAATACATGTTCCATCCAGTTTGCATAAATAGGATTGTACATGGATGTTCTCACCAACTGCTAATCACTGACCTGAGTTGAACATATTTAGATAAAAACTGAAGTAGGTTACTACCACTACAGAAGACCGAATACAAACTAAATGCTGAAGCATCACCTCTGGATTGCTCCTTCTGTGGAGTCATCGTAAAAGACTGGAGTAATCCAGACATCTTTTCAAGAGTCGTCTCGGAGATGGATCTTGTAACAGACTGATGAGAAGAAAAATACTCTCCAGTTAGCAGTTCTTAGATAAAATTTACCAATATTTTCCGTCGACAAACCAAAAAGAATCAGTGTATGATGCAGAACAAATTGTGCCGACGTATCGAAAATAAGCTCCTGGGCGCACCAAACATTCAGAAATGGAAAGATTGGAAACAGTATGCAACTATGGCAAATTTTGAAGATCAAAAGCAGAACCAGTGGTATGCTAAGGTCTTACCTGTTCGCTGCTACCGGTGCCGTATTTGCCGTGAAGCTGCAAGGAACACCACTGCATTACAACATATCCAGAGATGCGCAAGGACTTAAATGCTCCGGTGAAACTCACCTTTATGAGAAAATCTGTAGGATCCAGCAGGAGGATTTTGGCTTCGAAATAGTGCGCGAGCGCCTTGGCGAGCATCTGCTGGTAAAGCTCTTCAAGAGAGGAACTTGGCCTTAGATTACTCGGTCCGAAGCAGCGGGAGTATGGTCAAGCAAAGTCCTTGAGCTGCTGTGATGAAGATGGTTTTTACCTGCAGGGCCTGACAGCAGAATCGCGCGGCTAGCAGGGGCGAGATTCCTGGTGTATTTGGAGATCTCTGCTTGCTTCAGGTGGACGTACGCGGCGCTCGTCAGCACGACGCGTGTTTGCTCACTGCAAAGGGGCGATTGAGGGGGTAAAAAGCAGAATTGTACACGCGAAAACAGAGCTTAGGGCGCGTAATCTATCAGTGAGCTAGTGTCATGCATGGTTGGCTGATCCAAGCAGATTTTGCTCATAAAACTGACAACATAGAGAGACTCTTCATGAGCTTTTGAACCCTCTGGGTTTCTCCTGCCTGTGATCCGAGTACCACCTTTCATGGACATTTCAGAAAGGAAAAAAGACATTTCACTTCTTTCAGGAACGCAAAGCTCCATAAGGCCGAAAATTACACAAAAACACCGGGTTTTTCTTCTTCTTTTACATGCAAACTATGCAGTTCATATGTAACCACCTTTCATGGAAGTATTCACCAACTGGGTTTCTCCTGCCTGTGATCTGAGTTCTGACAGCATAGCGATTCTGTCACCACCTTTCATGGACATTTCAGAAAGGAAAAAAGACATTTCACTTCTTTCAGTGACGCAAAGCTCCATGAGGCCGAATATTACACAAAAACTCCGGTTTTTTATTCTTCTTTTACATGCAAAATATGCAGTTCATATGTACATCTAATTCATGCACATCACACAGAGATGAGGGGACTTTCCCCACCAGAAGATCAGCCCAAAACATCTAGGACGATGGAAGGTGACGGGACAGCTTCTACAGTTCCATGCCTACGTGCCGAGAGAAAGAGAGATGAACTTTTTTGCGCCGGAAGGAGAACGTTACCTGAGGTAGTATGGGAACTCGTCGAAGGTGACCTTGCTGTCCCTGCCGTCGACGACGAGGCGGCGGAGCTCGTGCTCCACCCGCTCCAGCGTCACCCCGGCCCGCGCCGGGCCTCCAGACCCTCCGCCCGACCACGGCGCGGATGCCAGCCCCAGCCCCACGCCGACGCCTATCCCGATCCCCACCGCCGACATCACCATGTGCTTCCCCTCCATGCCGGCCGGCCGGCTGAGCCTGAACTCCCTCCGACGGCGATGCGAACCAACGTTGAGCTAGCTAGCTTCTCCTCCTCCGCGGACCGCGCGCGGTGTCTGCACGAGAGTGGCTAAAAGAGATTGGAGAGATCAACGGGGGACGGACGACGACGACGACAGCATCTGGCTAATAATGGATGGTTTTGGCGAGATGGATGGGAGGGGGAGCGGGAGGGGGTGGCGCAAGTGTCGGGCCTCTCACTCTTTCTGTTCGTTGCGCTCTGTGTGTGTGTGTGTGTGCAGCGCTGTGCAGGTTTCTCGTATGTTCTTGGCTGCTTAGCCGCGGGAGGGGCAATGGGGGCTGGGCACGCGGGCGCGTACGTGTGCAGCGTGCTGGAGTATATGAAAGGAGGCGATGAGGATGAGCATGGGCGCGTGTGCATCATCGCGCTATTGTTGGAGAGGTGGCAATGGCATGCAGCATGGGGCATGGCACTATTGGATACAGGGACTCTGGCTTCCGCTGAATTATGCGCAGGTCTCAACAGGCACTCAAACTACAACGTGATTTCTTTTCAGAAGCCTTTCGTGTTTTTTTAGGGACAGAAGCCTTTCGTGTTAGAGATATATTTAGCTTACATATATTTGGTAGTCTATAATTTGTAATATGTCTCCTACCTTGTCTCTAGGAGAGGCGTCTTATTCTTTAAATCTTGTACTTAATATATACTCGTCTTCGAGGCTCAATAACACATCCATCATATTCCGCAACAATCCCTCTCTCTCCCTTCTAACATGGTACCAGCCTAACCGATTCAACCCTAGCCATGACCCGCTGCTTCCGCTCCGGATTTTTTTTCGCTCTCTCGCCGGTCATTTAAATCGGTGTTTTTTTTGGTTTTCCGATCTATTCTTGATCGGTTTGCGTCGCCCACCGCCACCTCGACCCCCACACCTCTACTTCGACATCGGTGTCGACTACACCGGCCGCTTCATCATCAACCGGGCGGCACAGCTGGACGCGCCGCCCAAGGGACGCCTTCGTGCGTCATTGCCGGCCGCTCGCCCGCGCGGTCTCCATCGTCCGTCCGTCTTCGGCGTCATCGTCCGGGACATCACTGACAACGTCGCCATCGACTCTGATCTGCGCATCGTCCCCGCCATGGCAAATACAGTGTCGCCGTCGGTCTGATCAACCGATCACGTGCCTGTCTTCGCCAAGCACGTCCTTGAGCACGCGCCTACCGCCGATCGAGCCACATGTTGCTGTCGCATTGTCCCTTCGGACCGCCGCGTCACCGCCCGAGGTCTTCCCGTCGGCTGCCTCGACCCGCGTGCCGCTACCATCGACGCCCCTTCGGGCTATCGCGTTGTGGAACGAGGTCCACGCCGCCGCTCCGAGATCCTCCTGCCAGCCGCTTCTGCGTCGCCCCTTAGGGTTCTCCCATCGCGGCACGTGGTCCACGCCGCCTCCCGTCGAGCCATCGCCCCCGGCTAGTGGTTCTCCACGCGGCTGCCCCAACCTGCGAGCCGCCGCTACACCGCCTCTTCGGGCTGTAGCGCTGCTGCATGCGGGCACCACCGTCGCCCGAGGCTGTCCCCGCAGTTGCACCGACCTGCAAGCCGCCGCTACACCGCCTCTTCGGCTTGTAGCGCTGCGGAATGTGGTCCCCGCCGCCGCCCCGAGTTCTTCCCATCGTCGCCCGGACCTGCCAGCCGCCGCTGTGTCGCCCCTTCGGGCCGTACTACCGCTTTTAGCTTCGTGCCGAGCCGCCTCAGCTGCCTCGCGCTCGGACTACTCAATGGCAATCTAGAGCGCCTTTTCGTTCTTCCGACGAAGCCGCGCCGCGTCTGTCTCCGCGGTTGTAAGCGACCGATGGTAGACCCACTCGAGGAGCCGCGCGTCCTCGTCGGGCTCCGCCTGCATCTCACGGCGGCGACGCACGGACTGCTCCGCCTCCTTCCTCCCCCTTTTTCGCTGCCTCTCGCGGCGGGCGGCGCGCACCTCTGGTTCTGGCATGCGCGTCCGGGTCGGTGGGGCGGGCACAAGCACCCACCGCTGCCCACGTGGGGGAGCAGCAGCCGACGCGGACAAGGGACGACGTAGAGGAGGTGCGAATTGTGCAGGCCTGTTGGAGCTGCGCC